GCCTCACCTGCAATATAGGGGATATCACTGACTTTGTGAACCACTAAATGCTACCTCAATCCCTTTTATAAAACACACAGATTTGCATTTTCCAAACAGGCAAACTCAACTATCACACATGTAATGAACTGGTAATCTGAGTCATCCGTTTCCAGCACAAATTACAATTTTGCTTCCTACCAATCAACCCCGGACAGGGGAATAAATAACCTCCTGTTGTGTGCAGAGTGGCTGTATGAGTTTGGCCCAAAAGTCATTTTATTACTGCTGTGATGGGCAAGGGTTACAAAGGTTCAAATTATTTTTTAAAATCTTTAAAAATGCAAAACCGAACCTGTTTGGAAGAACAAGAGGCCAAGGTTGCGCACACAAAAAAGCCCCATACAAACATATATTTGTACTTCTTCACCCAAGTACTTCTTCACCCAAAGAGGGATTAACACATGGAATTCACTGTCACAGGAAGTGGTGGCGGCTACAAGCATGGACGGCTTCAAGAGGGAATTAGATAAGCATATGGAGCAGAGGTCCAGCAGTGGCTATTAGCCACAAGGTATAGATAGGGGCTCTGGGGCAAGTGATGCTCTGTCTTCTTGGTGCTTGGGGGGGCCAACAGTGGGAGGGCTTCTAATGTCCTGGTCCCACTGGTGGACCTCCTGATGGCACCTGGTATTTCTGGCCACTGTGTGACACAGAGTGTTGGACTGGAGGGGCCTTTGGCCTGATCCAACATTGGCGTCTCTTATGTTCTTATATTTCTTTATTCAGAAATCAGTCCTGCCATGTTCAATGGAGCTTGCTCCTAGGAAAGTATGCATCAAAGACAGCAAATTTACAGACACCCCTTTAGCACTCAATTTAGACTTCCTGTTCTTCAGCAAGCATAAAACCCCACTCAAGAGTCATGCATTGCCTGACCTCCAGGTTTGGTTATCACACATATTGATTTCTTCATTTTCACATGACTTTAAAGGCAAGGAGGAAGGCTACTGTTTGGGCTTTCTTGTCTTACTAACCATTTTTAAAGAGGCAGCTATGCTACATATATTTATTTTATATTGGCCATTAAAAGCATACAGGTATACATTCTACTTTTTTTTTTTTACAAAAGAAGCAATCCGAAAGATTCATCAGCATTGATAAAACATCAGCAGGGAATTTTAAAGATTCAAAGGTTCAGTGACAGACTGATAACACAAAAACCTAACATTGCTTCATGGCACTGTTTTTGTTTTTTTGCTGAGGCTCATGCAAAGCCAGCTACTGATCTGGTACGTTCTTAACTTGCATTTGCCAATAAGGACCTAGCAGCTCAAGTCAGAAAATTGATGGGCATCAGAAGAGCCCTGCTGGATCAATTTAAAGGACCATGTAGTCCAGCTTTCTCTTGCCCACAGTGGCAAACAACCACAGCACAGAAGCCAAAGACTTCCCCCATTTTTGCCTGCCAGCAACTAGGAATCAACAGTAAACTGCCCCTGAACACGGAGGCTTCGAATCATCATGGCTATCATAGCTAATCCCCTTTAGTAAACGTCTAAGAAAATTAGGCATTTCAGTAAGCAATGGGCATATCTCTTAATAGTTTAAAAATAACTTCTGCCCAACCTCCCTCCCTCCCACTTTCTGTTTTTAGATAACACAAAATGGCACAAGACTATGGACACGAAGCAAGGCCAGTGCCCCAAAACTCATTTAAAGTCAAGAATTAACATGGCTAACCCCCTGGATTTGTTACATAAATTCCATTGTTATTATTGTAACATCCTCTCATCTTCCTTATCCACATTGGAGGTTTAGATTAGCCAAAATCCAGGGCATAAACCTTTCAAATAAATTAAATGAGAAATAAATCCAGCCACTGAAATCAACAGGGCTTTGAAGTGCTTATATTTTGCCAGGATTATGGCCACTATATATATTTTAATCTTTCTCCTATTAAAGAAAGTATCACAAGGATCAAAAATATTAAAGGATGCAGCCATGTTTTGGAGAGGGGGGGGAAATAAGAATCGGATAAAATTTGTTTCCTAATTCCAGCCAAACGAAAGGAATTGTATTCCTACACCTGTGATTAAGTGGGTGGCAGAGTACATCGACTGCGAAAGGGGCTTTCCAGGGGGAGAAAAACACTGAATTGTCATAGGTCTTCATTGCATTTTCATGTTTCTTTTTACATTGATTCAAAGCTGCCAATCGGCTTCCCTAACCACTCTGCCCATCAGAGTTATGACGTAAAGCATGTCGCCAAAGGGGCCAGAAAGAAAGGCCTCGTGGTTGATTTTCCACATCTGGCAACCCCCCCCCACAAAAAAAAGCCTGCTCTACCTGAACCAGCAAAAGCATAACATCTAAAAGCCCCTGCTAAAAAGAAGCCACAGGAAGACCCACTGACAGGCAGCATCAAATTGCAAACCTATATAATTGGGGGAGGGGGGAATCTCCCAGGGTTCCAGGGCAATGTTCCCTCTAAGCTGTGGAGTCTTGTGAGCAAAAATTCTCAGCTCTGTGAGCGACTGGCATTAAAGTTGTGAGCGAGCCATTTGGGTGCTGCATCAATCAGTTTGCTCTGGAGCCCTCCTTCCTGAGCGAAGACAAAAATGTGTGAGCCGGAGGCTAAAAAACTGTGGGCTGGCTCACACCAACTCAGCTTAGAGGGAACACTGTTCCAGGGCTACATCCATGCAAATGAATCCCCTCATTAACAAATGGCTCCTCTTCCATTGTTGACAAACACATCCCTATCTGATGTGCTACTTACTCTTACTCTCTACTACTGCTAAAGACAGACTACTAACATGGCTACACATCTTGATCATTTCACCCAGAAGACATTCCTGGAAATGAAATCCTGGACAAACAGGGAAAAGGGAGAGGGGAACCTCCAGACTCAGCTACCCTGCAGGAGATGCAAATCTGGTAGGAAGACTTTCTGGGGGATGGAGGCAGATGCCTTCCATAACACACAGTTGCTGAGAGTCACAAGTTGGAGATCCCAGGGGATGCATTCCAAGCTGGAGTTACCATTACAAGGGAATGACGCCTAGATAATAAGGGCACCCTAGACTGGCCCAAGGCCCCAATTCTCAGGGAAATTAGGGGACTGGCAGGCAAAGAGCAGCCTCCAAGCCAACCTGCCTGGGGGTACATTGCAAGGAGAACCAGGTCAAAACCAGCAAGGGACTTCACATTTACACTTCCAACTTGTCCTGCCTTCAAAATTCACAGTGGATTCCAGTGTTTAAATTGCCAAGCACCAACAGAACTGAACAAAGTGGAGCTTATCAGGTTGCATTTCCCCCCCCCCATTTCATAAAACCTGAAAAATAACGGATGAGAAGGAAAAAAACATCCACCCTGTACTCGATGGGAAGCCATTTTTACGGGCTTTCTCCACACCCTGCCAAATCACTCAGTTATTATTGATGGATAAAGTAGCACATAAATATGGGTCCCACACACAAGGGTATGTGCGGTCCCATTCCAGATTCATTCAAAAATGGTGTCCTCTTATAACATATTCTACAGAAAACGAGGTATTACCAGTAAATTCTAGCTATGCAGATTGGATACATTTATGAGAATTTTTTATGGCTCCCGCCCCCTCCCCAAAAACTTTTTAGGTCCTTCTAAAATATATCTGGGTTTATTATACGTTTTACTATACGTTACTACTCTAGTAGAACAAGTGGAAAATAACAATAAAGTGACAAGGTCACGGTAATAAGATGTTGCTGACAAGTTAATAGATGGCATTGTGTTCAATGAATCTGCACGTACAGTCTGTATTATTGTTTAAACAGTAATCTTGTTTATGTGTATTTGACTTATATTCTAATAAAATCGTTTATTTTTTTAAAAAAGTTATTATTGCAGTGCCATCCTTGGCATGTTTGTTGTTGTTCAGCCGCTCAGTCGAGTCCGACTCTTCGCGACCCCATGGACCAGATCACGCCAGGCCCTTCCTCATGTTTAGGTTTCCCTTGCTCGAAAGCCGGTCGAATCCGACTCTAGGGTTGCGGTGCTCATCTCCGATTCCAAGCCGAAGAGCCAGCGCTGTCCGAAGACGTTTCCGTGGTCATGTGGCCGGCATGACTAAACACCGAGGCGCACGGAACGCTGTTCCCTTCCCACCGGAGTGGTCCCTATTTATCTACTTGCAATTTCTTGCTTTCGAACTGCTAGGGTGGCAGGGGTCCTCATGTTTACTCAGACGTAAATCTCACCTGAGCACACAAAGCAGTGCAGCTCTCCTTTATTATTGTGAATCACAGGCTGCAAACCACATGGGGGGGCGGGCAAGATCTCCACTCATTAAATCCCACAGTTGCCGGCAGCAGGCCTGCTCTGGAGTGAGTCTGAGGCTCCCTCTCAGCCTTTTTTTTTAATCATTAAGAATTAACTTCCCCCACCCTGCCAACCAATGTTCCCTCTAAGCTGTGGAGTCTGGTGAGCAAAAATTCTACTTTGTGAGCTACTGGCTTTATAGTTGTGAGCAAGTGATTTGGCTACTGCATCAGTTAGTTTTCTCCGGAGCCCTCCTTCCTGAGCTAAGACAAAAATCTGTGAGCCGGAGGCTGAAAAACTGTGAGCTAGCTCACACCAACTCAGCTTAGAGGGAACACTGCTGCCAACTAGATCAGTGACAGAGGCCTGGCAGGCTCCACTCTGGCAGGCAGGCCCACTCTGCAGTAAGTGGGCCTGAGCGAGCACCCTCAATCCCAGCGGGGTTGAACCCCCGGCAAGGGTGCCTTCTGGCTGCCACCAGAAGGGTGCCCATGCCCAAAGGCTGCCGATCCATCAGCGAGGGGGAAGGGGCTGCCCCACCAGGGCAAAAGCATCCTCGCCCGTGGGCCTACATTGCAGCAAGCGAGGAGGGGTGGATCAAGGAGGCTTTCCCCCAACAGCAATCCTGCCATAGACGCATCCAAGGGGCAGTGGCTGCCAGGCCCATCAGCCCTCCTCCTCCTCCTTGCGCCCGGCCTTGCGCGCTGGCTCACCTCCTCGGCCTGCTTGCGCAGCGCCTTCTCCCGCTCGTACTGGGTGAGGAGCTGCTCGTTGTCCTCGCGGAGGAGCTCCAGCTCGACCTCGTGCTCCTGGTTGTCGGTGAGGACGGAGTCGAGGTTCTCCAGCACGGTCACCACCAGCGGCATCAGCTCCTTCACCACCTCCTCGTCGTAGCAGTGGATCAGGCGCTCGAACTCGCGGTAGATGCTGTTGGCCAGGCCCGAGACGCGCTCCGACATCACCGAGCCCGAGCAGTAGTCGTCGCCCGCGTAGCCCCCCACGCCGCCATCGTCCAGCTGGATCTCCAACATCGTGGCTTGCCGCCGGTCGCCGCGCCGGCTTCCCCCGCGGCTGCACCTGCCTCGCAGACGGTGGAGGGATGGAGGGATGGGGAGGAGCGGGATGCGGCGGCGGCGGCGGCGGCGGCCTCGGCTCTGCCCACCCGCGCTCGCTCGCTCGCCCTGCGCCACTGGCCACTCCCGCCGCGCTCCCTCCACCCGCCCCGGCCGGCGCGCACAGGCGCACCAGCGCCACCGAGGCAGCGGCCACCGGCTTCTTGCCCGGAGCGCTGCAGGAAGGAAGCAGGCGGTGCCCGGCGGAGAGATGGGGGACCAGCCCTGTAGCGAGGGAATTCTTTGGGAGGGGGCCTCGGGGGTGGGGGGGGGGCGCCAGCTAATTAAATGGAAGTACAGCGCAGGTGGTAAATTGGAGCACTTTGGGGGCAGCCCCGGAGGGAGGGAGGGGGCCCAGAAGAAACACTAGGGGGCCGGGCCCCGTGGGCCCCGTGTTAGCTACAGGCCAGGGGGACCAATGTTCCCTCCAAGCTGTGGAGCCTTGTGAGCAAAGATTCTACCTTCTGAGCCGCTGGCGTTAAAGCTGTGAGCGAGCGATCTTGCCCGGAGCAAGAGATGGGGGACCAATGTTCCCTCCAAGCTGCGGAGTCTTGTGAGCAAAGATTCTACCTTCTGAGCCGCTGGCGTTAAAGCTGTGAGCGAGCGATCTTGCCCGGAGCGATGCAGGAAGGAAGCAGGCGGTGCCCAGCGGAGAGATGGGGGGCCAATGTTCCCTCCAAGCTGTGGAGTCTTGTGAGCAAAGATTCTACCTTCTGAGCCGCTGGCGTTAAAGCTGTGAGCGAGCGATCTTGCCCGGAGCGATGCAGGAAGGAAGCAGGCAGTGCCCAACGGAGAGATGGGTGACCAATGTCCCCTCCAAGCTGTGGAGTCTTGTGAGCAAAGATTCTACCTTCTGAGCCGCTGGCATTAAAGCTGTGAGCGAGCAATTGGGACCTAAACAGCATGATAAAAAGTAGAGACATCACCCTGCCAACAAAAGTCTGCATGGTCCAAGCAATGGTATTCCCAGTAGTCATGTATGGCTGTGAGAGTTGGACTATAAGGAAGGCCGAGCGCCGAACAAAAGATTCTTTTGAACTATGGTGCTGGAGAAGACTCTTGAGAGTCCCTTGGACTGCAAGAAGATCAAATCAGTCAATCCTAAAAGAAATCAACCCTGACTGTTCCCTGGAAGGCCAGATAATGAAACTGAAGCTCAAATACTTTGGCCACCCAATGAGAAGGGTGCACTCACTGGAGAAGACCCTGATGCTGGGAAAGATTGAAGGTCAAAGAAGACGGGGACGGCAAAGGATGAGATGGTTAGACAGTGTCATAGATGCAACGAACATGAAATTGAGCCAACTTCAGAGGACGGCGGAAGAAAGGAGGGCCTGGTGGGAGCTGGTCCATGAGGTCGCGAAGAGTCAGACTTGACTGTGCGACTGAACAACAACAAAGGTCACACTCACTCAGCTTAAAGGGAACATTGGATGGGTCCCCAGCAGGCTGGGGGCGGGTGTGTGGCTAGAACGGCCCTCTCCTTTTCACAGGAGGCTGTCGAGTGCCAGTGTTCCCTCTAAGCTGAGTTAGTGTGAGCTAGCTCACAACTTTTTAGCCTCCAACTCACAGATTTTTGCCTTAGCTCAGAAGGGATGGCTTCAGACGCAAGGCTCCCTCTAGGCTGCGGAGTCTTGTGAGCAAGAATTCTACTTTGTGAGCCGCTGGCATTAAAGTGGTGAGTGAGGGCTTTGGCTCCTGAATGAATTAGTTTGCTCTGGGGCCCTCCTTCCTGAGCGAAGGCAAAAATCTGCGAGCCGGAGGCTAAAAAACTGTGAGCTGGCTCACACTAACTCAGCTTAGAAGGAACACTGCTTCAGAGCAAACTCATCTATGCAGCAGCCAAATCACTTGCTCACAGCTTTAATGCCAGTGGCTTACAAAGTAGAATTTTTGCTCACAAGACTCCACAGCTTAGAGGGAACATTGCCAGTGTCCACCGGGAGATTACCTGCATAATACGAACCGAAATCCAGCAGCCCCTTCGCTAACAGCATTCATTTCAATAGGAGCTTCAGTGGGAGGGCTTCTAATGTCCTGGCCCCACTGGTGGACCTCCTGATGGCACCTGGTATTTCTGGCCACTATGTGATACAGAGTGTTGGACTGGATGGGCCTTTGGCCTGATCCAACATTGGCCTCTCTTATGTTCTTATGTTCCTATGAGCTGAAAAGCTGTACGAGTTCCTCCTTGCCGCATGACAAGACGCTTTCCTCCGGGCCATTTAATTTCTTTCAGGAACTGGACGCGTTGCCAAACTCAGGGTTGCCAGGCTCCATCTGGGGCCTGGAGATCTCCCGTTATTACATAGGATCTCCAGTCCACAGAAAACAGTTCCCTGCTTTGGAGGGTGAACTCTATGGCAAAGTACTCCACTGAGTTCCCTGCCCTACCCAGGCTCTGCCCCAAAATTGGCTTGCCAGCCTCCAGGTGGGGCCCGGAGATCTCCTGCTTTTACAACTCATCTCCAGCTGACAGATACCAGCTCCCCTGGAGAAAAGGGCTGCTTTGAAAGGTGGACTCCATGGCATTGCACCCTGCTGAGGCCCCTCCCCTCCCCAAACCCCGCCCTCTCCTGGATCCACCCCCAAAGTCTCCAGGTATTTTCCAACCCAGACCTGGCAACCCTACCCAAAACTCTCCAGGAATTTCCTGACCCAAGTTGGCAGTCCTATGGCAGTCAAAGATGGAGTTATGATCCAGACGGCGAAGCATCTATACGACCATGTCTGTTGGCACTAAATGGCCAGCACGGATGTGGACTAGCCCTTTAAAAAACAATCCAACTTTGTCATGTAAAAAGGTAAAGGTTCCCTTGCTCGAAAGCCAGTCGAATCCGACGCTAGGGTTGCGGTGCTCATCTCCATTTCCAAGCTGAAGAGCCAGCGCTGTCCGAAGACGTTTCCGTGGTCATGTGGCCGGCATGACTAAACACCGAGGCGCACGGAACGCTGTTACCTTCCCACCGAAGTGGTCCCTATTTATCTACTTGCAATTTCCTGCTTTCAAACTGCTAGGTTGGCAGGAGCTGGAACTAGAGACGGGAGCTCACTCCGTCATGCGGCACCCAGGTCTCGAACTGCTAAACTACCGACCTTCCACAGCCTGCAGTTCAGCGTCTTAACCACTTGAGCCACCGCAGCTCCTTTGTCATGTTTGTTGTTGTTCAGTCGCACAGTCGAGTCCGACTCTTCGCGACCCCATGGATCATCTCCCGCCAGGCCCTCCTGTCTTCCGCTGTCCTCTGAAGTTGGCTCAATTTCATGTTCGTTGCATCGATGACACTGTCTAACCATCTCATCCTTTGCCGTTCCCGTCTTCTTTGACCTCCAATCTTTCCCAGCATCAGGGTCTTCTCCAGTGAGTGCTCCCTTCTCATTGGGTGGCCAAAGTATTTGAGCTTCAGTTTCATTATTATTAAATGCCACAATACCCACTCACTCTAAACTCAATTGATGGAAACTGCATGGAAGACACAGAGTGTGGCCTGCTTTGGGGGACATTTTGGGCATATGGAAACTGTCCGTGCACTCTGTTAGGGGCCCGAGCTGGCTGACCCAGAGACTCTGCCACCCATCTAGTGTCAAGAGATGCAGGAGAAGGGTGTTTTAAGTTAGAAAAGAAATGACGGTGTGCTGGACAGCTCCTTAGAAGCCATAGTAAAAGAAGGACAAGAGGACCAGGGAAAGAAATTAAATTCCTGAAAAGATTAAGTAGATTTTTCAGTCACATGAAGAGTAACGGGGATGACTTTGACAAATTGAAAATCATCTGCATGTTCTAGAAAGGGGCACAAAAATGTCATATAGTGTATTCTTGGTCATTAGATTCACTGTTGAAGAAAATGAGACTTCCTTTCTATGCTTCTCTACACAATCTGATGCATGCTTAAAGGTAAAGGTTCCCTTGCTTGAAAGCCAGTCGAGTCCGACTCTAGGGTGGCGGTGCTCGTCTCCGTTTCAAAGCCGAAGAGCCAGCGCTGTCCAAAGACGTTTCCATGGTCATGTGGCCGGCATGACTAAACACCAAGGCGCACGGAACGCTGTTCCCTTCCCACCGAAGTGGTCCCTATTTATCCACTTGCAATTTCTCGCTTTCGAACTGCTAGGTTGGCAGGAGCTGGAACTAGAGACGGGAGCTCACTCCGTCATGTGGCACACTCGGGTCTCGAACTGCTGAACTACTGACCTTCCACAGTCTGCAGTTCAGCGTCTTAACCACTTGAGCCACCGCAGCTCCATGCATGCATACTGAGGAATAAATCCCATTGAGCTTGCTCCCAGTAAAGTCTGCATAGGACTACAACTTCTGCCTCCATTTTTTTTATACCACCCAAGAAGGTGAGAGTGGCATACAGGCCATTTTATTCTCACAAAAACCCTGCAAGGTGGGTTAGGCAGAGAGAGAGAGAGAGAGAGAATATGACCTGAGCTCAATCATTTAGCTTTGTGGCTAAGTAGGGATTAAAAACATAGATGAATCTACATACGCAAAGGAAGTTAAACAGATATCCATTTGGATGTTCTACACCAGGTGCATTCTTATGACATAATGGATAAGACAGTGAGCTCTGAATTAAGATGTTGGTGGCATGAATCTCATCTCTCCCGTGAACACATGAGGTGACCTTACACAAACCATTCAGCCTCTCATCAACAACATGGCACTAATAATAATGACTTATATTTAGTTAGTTTTATTATTACAGTCTTAAGACCAACATACAATATAAACATAATATGAGCAGGGGGGGTGGGGGAACAGAGATAATATACAGAATAAAAATCTAAATTTAAAAACTTTTAAAATGCGACTCCCGCAATCTACGAATCAATGCACAGAACTCAGCAACTGAATGTGTAATCTCTGCATTCTTGTCTGATAGAAACCAGTGAAGCCGTGCTTTGTATTAATGCGA